CATTACTCCTCCGGCGTGGCCAGCAGTAGTAGTAAGATTCCAGCGGCTGATGAGAACCTTGAAAAACCAATAAAATGCTAAATTTTGTATTATCACTGATCTACAGTATTGGTACTAAGCGTGATACTCCAAGAAGGTCTGTTTGGGACTACTTCACTCACAGGGGGGCAAAATTGTGTGACCGACAGGCGTCGGTATGTTTAAATTAATTTTTTAGAGGAAATGTATTCGAATATCGAAAAGGTTCATGTTTATATCGTTACACACATGTACTGCCATGGATACTCAGATACAAACCAAATATATTGAATGAAATCATTTTTTATCTGTGAATGTTGTGTATTGTCGTTTTTGCAGCTAAAACGGGAAAATTTTTAACTAGCGATTTGAAGGGTGTGCATTCGACGTTCACCAATAGGCGAATCTTTGTTTACATTTTTTGCCTCATTAGCATTGGTTTATCATTATCTGGTGAAGGTATAATAAAATGAAATCTCTGAATTTTGAAAGAGCATAATTATAACAATTTCAATTATCTCTGAAAATTTGAGCCCGATATACCAAATAGTTTCGGAGAAATTCTCTTTGAAAACCCCCAAAATTTACAAAGAATGTATAAGCTCAACGTTTTGCCACCCAGTACTGAATTTTGCAGTTTTTAACTGCTGCTATTTTCTTTGTTACTGATTGAAAAGGGCTGAAAATTGCAAAAACTGCATAAAATAACCAGCTCCTTTAATTTTTGAAAATAATTAGTATATACGACTCCATCTTCTGTGGGTTAACTCGTATACTAATGAACAAAAATGTACACAATAACGTCACGATGAATCCAGCTATACATATAGTTTACAGCTATTTCGAGAAAGGTTGTCGGAAAAAGCGCACGGGCAGGGCCGTAGCCAGAAAAAAATAAGGACTGAGGCAATATCCATGGATGAATTCCCCGCCTGGCTATTTAATTAGGGTCTCTTATGATGACTACGTTTAAACAAAACACTGGGATCAAACCTTACCGGACTGAAGCAAGTGTCTCGGTTTGCCTCTAACTGGCTACGGTCCTTACGGGACAATCCCAAAAGGTATTTCGATGGTTTTAAGTTCACTGTTCTTCAAAGAGAGGCCATAGACGTATGTTTGCGAGTGCTAAAGGAAAGCAGCCTGGGGCCATGACCGACCATTTTGGGAAGACACACTCTTTTTGAGTAAATAGTTGCATATTTGGTGCATAATATTTGTCTCCATGGTAACTAATAGTTACCAGTATCAGCCTCATCTTCTTCCCGTTTCGTTTCTATTAAACTGAACAGCTAGAGGCAAATTCATGCTGTGTTTATTAAGCTGGTAATTGCTTCTAGAAGCCTCAGAAGCTCATTCAATTCATTCCAAATAGTCACGGTACTTGTATGAAATTTCCTCATTCCAAAATATTACTAAAATACTTACGAGCTGAAACGTTTGTGCATCAAAGTTGCTCAGTGAATGGCATTTTGAGTTCTGTTTACCCACTCTTTTCAGTCAAACAGTAAAGGTTCATGTAGTAAACAAAACTTTGCCTTTTTGATGTTATGGTTAAGTGATTGATAGAGTGGAGGGATAAAGGGAATTGTTCAACTATGATGCTGTTATTTACCCTTCACAGTCTACAGGGCACAAAACAATTTAGTCAAACGAGACAATGGTTTTTGCACATTTGCCCGCAGTCTGATGATGCATATAATGTCTTCCTATAAAAAGATTTCTGTAAGCCTATCAGCAACTGTTGAGCAAATTAACACAGAAAGTTTTTTGTTTTGTTTTGTTTTGTTTTTTTAACTCAAAGGAAAAGATCACAATTAACTACGTATCGCATAAACGCCGTCTTTAAGTCCGAGATAAAAATACACCACAGCAGTCTCAAAACCAATGTTACAGGTCAATTACCCTTGGTTTAAAACAACACCAATAAAAAATGTGATTTATTCATTGCTTCTGGAAGCTGCGCGATAAAAAACAAAATGCACTTGGTTACAATGTGATGCGGAATGATAGAAAAAGGCTAAGTCTATTTCTTCAAAACAGGATTTAAAATACCGCGTTTTATTTACACTGTATTTGCTTGGTCAACTGACTATAAAGAATGTCACAGTGGTCGAATAAGGGGTGTGGGCAAAGACGCAATTGAAATGGAACAAAAACATGTAAAGATAGGTACAAGCGTATTTATTCATAAAAGTTCTTATTTTGAACGAGTTTTCTAGCTTCTCGACGTAACGTGTCAAAATAAATGATTGGTTGATTGAAGCGTTCTAAATGATCCCAAGAACTTCAGCTAAGACTGAGAGTAACTGACAGTAAATAATGAGTGACTGTAACATCAAAAACACATCATGGTGTCTTTAACCTTGGCTTGTCTTAGTTACTGAGATGGATCGTTGGTCTTTACAATGATCCTTTTTACACATGCATCGGTCAACTATATTCTACGATTTTGAGTGACATTTAATTCAGAATGACAAAGCCATACCCTTAGGCGGCTCACAGATTGATCCCTGCATGTGGGCGAGAGCTAGAAACGAAAGCATTCAGTTCGACAACATGGCGCCATGCTGCAATTTTCTTATTTCTGCTTCTTTTTGCTTCATATGTAGCTGGAATGAAAGGCAATGAGCTGGTCTCTGCACCAAACAAGTTGTGCTTATGTTTCTTGCTTTGAACTGCTGCATTTGTAACTTTATTTCTACATTTCTTTCGATTATGTGACAGCGACTAGTGGAGATAACAATCACTCTAGAAAAGCACCACCAAATTTCCCGCGGTATTAGAATGTGACTATGCTTCACTTACTGTCAGTTTTTGGCTGGGCTAGGTATCTTTAATTTGCTCAGTTTTGCACAAATGCATGAAGCAATTTCGATTCGCGTAGAGAAAGAGTCTCTAGTGACTACATTCTTTACAGGCGAGCAGTCAAGGCGTCTGTTTTAGTGAGTTTGATTGACAAGAAATTATCACATTATCCAAATAAGGGTAGACACTCCCTCGAATACTTTCTACTAATACGAGCAAGGAGTGTCCTTAGGCGGAAGCACTGGAAAGCGTTCAAAAGGCAAAGTTAAAACTTGACATGGCACATTGGGTTGCAGCTTGTCTTTTCTTTTTGGTTGCTCTGCAGTGGCTGTCAGTAGCTTTAGCCTCGCACTTCCGTTATGGAACCATGTCTTGGGCTCCGGTCGACTCTTACAGCAACACACGGTAAAGTATTGGACTCCCTTATGTAGTGTGGCGCGGTTTGCAGTATATCTAGTTTTATAGACATGAATAAAACTTAAGTCGTATCTAAGCAACTACGTGGCCTTCAGTAAGCTGCCAAGCTTTTAACTAGGCTATTTTTGCCGCTGAGCAGAGCATTTTAGGGACGATTTTTAGTCACTAGGTCCTTGATTTGAAAGAGAATTCAGTAGTGAATATTTACTATGTAGTATATTCTTGTCATCATCATCTTTTGTAGGCTTTAGTTCATTTTGCATCAAAATCAAAAGGGTAGTTTTTCACCGAGAATAACTGGACCTAGAAACTGGTGTGTTCGTTTCATAGCCTGAATGTCTAGTCATAAAATGGTGGTAGGACTACTAAGTGATTTGTTATTTCCACTTTGCCCTAGATAGATTTGAATATCGATTACATGAAATTCTCGTTGATGTAATTGTCTGAATCACTACTTAATTAACAACTCGACCGAGAGCGTAATATTTGAATAGCGTGCATGATGGTATTCGCGGTATTGTAACGATACGCTGACTAAGCCTGCATGCCTTGACCTTCCGCGGTGTGTACGGTAGAGCGATGCGATCCTGCCCGATCCCGGATGCAGCTCTAATGTAGAAAGTCTAAGATAAATAAAAATAAGTAGTTAATCAAATAAATTAAAAAGGAAAAAAATCCGACCAAAAAAAATGTACTAGATAAAGTCTGAGGGCCGTGCAATTCTCGGGTTTAATTCTATCTTATTTAGTTCTAGAAAGCATGGAGGCAGGTGCCCTTTCTTGTCTTCGCTGTGAGTGTGGTCACTAAGCCTAGCAAAAAAATAAAAACATAGCCACAGTAGCATTTTGTGTATTCTCAATATTTTGATTTGTCAGACACCATATGCATGGCAGAAAAAAATGTAAACCTTGCTGGACCCTACCATGCATTTCATTTTAAACATTTAATAAGAATCTAATTGGAAACATCGAAAAAATAATGAAACATTTTGTTAGTTCGAACCATTGTGCACAGTGCTATAACAGCCGTCTCCTCAGGCGCTTCGTTTTTCGCATGGTTTCGCATAGAGGCGAGCGCAAAACGCTAGTGACTGGTGACGAAGCCTAAGGGACCTTCCCGCCTTCCTTTGGGCGCAAAATTTCATCGAGAGAGAGAGCCTACGTCTAGGTACGCGGCAGGTGCTATAAACTGAAATCAGTGCTATACTACCCCTAGTTACGCCCCTGCTTTCAAAGATTCTGTCTAATGTCCTGAGTCGCAAACTGACAGCGCCAGTACAAAGTTAAGTCACGGATGCCTTTGTTGTACGTATTTCAAGACAAATAAGAACTAAAGGTATTTTTATTCTGAGACTATGATAAATGATCATGAGGTTTCTTTACGAATTTACAGTTTACAGTTACTTCTAAGAAATTCAAGAAAGTTTTCTCGTCAAAAGTCGCTTAGTCTCTAGATCGATAAAATCTGTTTCTGTGACGTTTTTTCTTTCTTTCTTTCTTTTTTTTTTTTCTGAAAGCCCACTTAATACGGACACTATGGCGTGTTCCCTTTGTGTCCGGATAATTTAAATTACACTTCACTGTTTTGTCTTTAGATTCGTTTCACATTTGGCCTGGCTTTTCGAAGATCTGCCGTGTACTGTGATGCAAATACCATAAGCACAGGTAGTCTTCTTGCTTCCGGATATTCATGGACAGCGGAGTGTGTTAACTATACTGGCTACAGTTCACAATGCAATTCAGTTAACATAGGAAGCACTGGTTTTCGCTGCACTGACTATAGTACCAGCGAGGATTGGTCACTGGGTGAAAACAACTTTACGCACACCTTCTCATCGATCCACGACGAATGGATTGTAAGGCAAGTTCGCACTTAAAATTTTATATAAGATAAAAATTACGACAAAATGTTATTAAATAAGGGCATTAATGTTAAAAGACTTATAACAAAATATCACGATGCGATTAATTCTTTATTTTTTGTTAACAGCTACAGAAGTTGCTGTTGGATATCTTTATTCCGGTATGGTGGCAGTTGGCGATGGCTCGTATCAACGACCGTAAACCTTACCAGGCGGTTAGATACTGGGAGAATTAACTCGTCTCCTGTATCAAGAAGCCCCGCTATTATATGCTGGTCTGAAGGCTGTCCCAGTCAGTCTGTACGGATCCCAATAGAAGACGCCGACGGAGATGTGGTAAAATGTCGCTATGCAAAATACTCCGAGTCCTACTTTAACAACGATAGTTTCCCTTATGGCACATTTGATGAGGTAATTGATCATTTCTGTGTTTGGTTTTTCTTTTGATGGAACGTGAAAATTCTAGAGTAAAGATGACTCATAAAGCCTTTTAACCGTTAGCCCTAGTAAAGGTATTGATCAGGAATAAAAACACGAAGTGGCAAAGTAGGGGTTGTATTGAAAATATAATTAATGAAGCCAAAATAGTCCAATTTCTAATGCTATAGTGACCGTTGAAACGAATATATAAAAGAATTGAAGACTCGTGTTAACAGCGTCAGCCTCCACTGGATATTCTCGAAAGACCTCTTTTCAGCTCTAAACGAGGTTAAGGCGCATTACAGCTAACATGCATTATTGCATTCATTTAGGTCGAGACTAACCCTCTTTAGATATATAATAATTAATTATTCCTTACCAAACCATATGTATTTTGAAACTGATTTTAAAGTATTTAAAATGTATTTTCAGTATTTGAACACTATTTTCCTGTATTTTAATACTATTTGACAAAAGAATTTAAATTTTCGCCCCTGTTTGAAATATATCTTGAGTGTAGTTAAATTGTATTTCATGTAAAGGAAAACCTCTCTCATCAATTTACAATGTATTTTGTTTAATAAATATGATTAAAATAGAGTATTTAAAATGTATTTTGGGCATGGAACCACTAACACTGTTACAAACAGAGTTCAAATAGACTATTTGAAATATGTTTTAAGGGCTTTTATGCTGACTGTAATTAAGATACTTTTAAATAGGGTACTTTAACTCTGTTTTGAGTTGTATCTAAAATGTATTTTGAGACGCATCCACTCACAAAGTTATAAACATAGTTCAAATAGACTATTTGAAATATGTTTTAAGAGCCTAAATGCTTACCGTATTTTAAATCCTTTTAAAAAAGGGTACTTTAACACTGTTTTGAGTTGTATCTAAAATGTATTTTGAGACGCATCCACTCACAAAGTTATAAACATAGTTCAAATAGACTATTTGAAATATGTTTTAAGAGCCTAAATGCTTACCGTATTTTAAATCCTTTTAAATAGGGTACTGTAACACTGTTTTGAGTTGTATCTAAAATGTTAGACTGTTCACAGTCCGATATTTTAGGGAATTTAAAGAATACCCACAAAAATCCCAAATTTGGAAGAGTGAGACAAGTCCCAATCAGGGAACTTGGTTGGGAATTCCCTGGTTGGGACTTGTCTCACTTTGCCAAATTTGGGATTTTTATGGGTATTCTTTAAATACCCTAAAATATCCAAAAATGGGAATCCGTTATTTTTTCCTGTGTACCCTTTTTAAGGCCCAAAGCCGAAAAATGACACCCTATTCAAAGAAAAAAAATTATTAATAGCATGAAAAGGAAAACTTTATTTCTTCTCTGTAACATTGCATGTATAGCATCAAGCATAACATACTAGAATAAGCCTAGTTTAATCATATGCAATCATAACTATGATACATCTTTCAATACTGTTTCTTTACTGCTATTACTTTGTTATAGAACTGCAACAAGTACAATAATCATGTAAGATCTCTGTACAAATACGATCGTTAACAATATCCGGCGGTCTTAAGTCATTGTGATGAACAAAGCTAACGGAACTAAAACCCGAATGCAAATAAATGAAAAAAATTCTTGTGGAGTTTAGGCTTTCCATAGTTCTAATCAACCTCCGCCCTTTTCAATAAAAAGAACGATACCCTGAAGTGTATACTTCACAAGGATTAGAATATATACATACTCCTTGGTACATTTAGTAAAATATTTACATTAATAGCGGAGCTCCGCGCGCGAAGCGCGCCCGCGGAGCACCATGGGTAAATAAATCTACCCATCCCAGAAAATTTGGTAATCACGTGACCGACCGACCGTCCGTCCGTCCGCACCACAGGCAAACCAATGCAAAATTTCGGGTAGTCTGTGAGTGCATAGGTTTTGGCGCGAAAACAAAGGGCCGCCCGCGTTTCGTGAAGCATAAACAACTGAAAACTTCAGCGAAGTCAACTCAGAAGAAAAAGAAATTTTTCGTATCGGTTGAGCACCGCGCAATTCCGCAATTCTTGATATCTTATTGATTATGTCCTCTAGTTTGGAGTACAGATAGAGAAAGGCAGAGAAAACGAGAAAGTAGGCGGCAAGCAAGCCAAGCTCAACGGGAGAGGGAGCGGCAGAGAGCTAGAGAAAGGAGACGAAACTGCTCTGACGAGCAGCGAGAGAGGGAGCAAGAGAGAAACAGAGAAAGGAGGCGCAATTTTACTGACGAGCTACGGGAGAGGGAGCAAGAAAGAAGCACAGAAAGAAGGCGCAGTTTTACTGACGAGCAACGGGAGAGGGAGCAAGAACGAAACAGGGAAAGGAGGCGCAATTTTACTGACGACCAACGGGAGACGGAACAAGAAAGAAGCACAGAAAGAAGGCTCAGTTTTACTGACGAGCAACGGGAGAGAGAGAGAGAAAGAAAGAAACAAAGAACTGAGGCGCAATTTCACTGACGAGCAACGGGAGAGAGAGCAAGAAAGACGCAGAGAAAGGAGGCGAAATTTCACTGAAGAGCAACTGGATAATGAACGAGAAAGAGTAAGAGAAAATAGACGCCGAACTAGCGACGAGCGGCGAAGAAGGGAGCGAGAAACAGCAAGGGAAAGCAGGCGTCGTATAAGCTTAAGCTTAAACGAAGACGAACGGGAAGGAGGAGAAGGTGAGTGACTTTCTTCAAATTTTTTATGTATTGAATGCAAGGCGTTTTGGCTTCTGTAAAGGGTGGCTGTAGTTTTGTTTGTTTAAATCCGAGCTTACGTCACTTGTTGTCACGCAGTGTCGAGTTTCAGAGAAGATGAACATGAAATCGGAGACCATTTTGCTCCTGTGGTTTGCTGCGGTTAAGGTGTTTTGACCTGTGTTCAAGTTCGATAAGATAAAGAGAAAGGAAATTGAAGTTTCAAATTAACAAAGATATTACATTATAATGCTCATCGATGTAGTCATTATCCAATCTTTCTGGTGCGGAAAACCCAAGGTAATCATTGTGCAAGTGATGTAATTTCATCAAGAATTTACATTTGCTTAACCATAATCCCACCATAATCTGCCTTTTTGTTCTGTCCGATGCGACCGTGTCTTGAATCGCTGAATGAATGAAAACTGCTATCTTGAATGTTGTTTGTCATGTTAGCTTTTAAAATTTGGCGCGACTCTGGCCTCCGTGACAGGAGAAAATTATTTAGTGTTAGAGGATCCCGTGAAAGCGTTGTAAATTCTCAAAAGTGTAAATTTGGGGTATCACTGTTGTATCCTTGTGCCCGGCGGACACTGTAGATTGAGACTGAAAAATGTTTTCCCCTGGTTTTCCCAATGCTTGTTGTAAGAGCTCATTTGATGCAGATTGTTCCGGTTCATGCATGCCCGTTGTTTTCTTTGTTCAGGGTACACAGAATATTTAAAGGAGCAATTTGGCTGACTAATCTCCCTCATGTAATTGAAATAACTTTTCTTTTATAAGTATTTAGGCTTTTCCCTGTTGTAGATATCAATCTTCTTATGTTTTATGTAAATTAAAGGAGGTCATAAGCTATGGCGCGCCATCTGTAGCAAAATCCCTTTTCGAAAAATTTCGTTTCGTAAAGTAACGAAACATAAAAAACGTAACGAAATAGGTTCGGAAAGTAACGAAATGAGTTCGAAAAGCAATACGATATCTTTCGAAAAGTAATGTGATACTTTCGAAATGAAATGTAACTCTTTCGAAAGGACGGTTTCCATGGCTACAGAATGTAACTCTACCCCTTCGAAATGTTGTCGTTATGAGTGTTACTATGGAAGTAAAATGTGTTCATATATGACGTGGTATTCGTAATCCTCCCCAAGTCCCCTCCTCCATAAAAATCGAGTCCGCCATTTTCATTTCGGTCGTTCGTGTCGTTCTTCGATTTTTGCTTGTTTGTTTCCGCAACGAAACACGTCACGCTCAAGTGATGAAGCCGATGAAAGTCTTTTTTATGTTCTTTTTTTGCTTTTTTGTATGCTTTATGAGAAGGTATGTTTTTATTTCTATTTTTCATTAAGCTTAACTGTACTGCATGGTTTTCACAGTGACGCCATCAAAGTGTAAGCTTGCAGTTAAAAAAGCGAGGTTTTACGCTGGTTTGTTCATACATACACTGTACCAGGTTGAAGATAATAAAAGATAGGTCTATGTACAAGTTTCCAGAAAAGAAAGAGCTTTTATTGAAAAAGTAAATTCCAGATGTTTTTGTTGCTTTCCAACGGCCATATTATTGGACATGAGACTTTGACTTTGATCTTTCCCAGTTTATTTTTTTGGTGCTGTGTTTATTGTATGACAGTAAAAACGATCTACTGGACTGTAAAAAATTATATTTTCTTCTTATTTTGCTTCTTTTGTTTTCTATGACACACAGTGGACATGCTAACAGGCAACTACAGCGGTTTGTATCGTCTATTCAACAAATGTTGCAAGAAGTTGATAGGTGTCGTAGTTCTCCTTTAGATAGGGAAACTGCCGATTTTTTACTCCTTAGGTTAGGTGGTGCAGTTCGCCATATGCAACAAGTTCTTTCCTTTGTAGAGAGATCGGGTCAGTTTTCACCAACTGAAGTGAATGATCTGAGGAATCTCAAAAGGGACATAAGGGTAATTGAGCAGTTATTTCAGGAATTACCAGTATTCTCTCCTAGGTCATGCTATAGAGCACCTGTTAGGCACACTGGTTCTGTGGGCCGTCCTGCTTATGAAATTTCCAGGGAACAGTTGATGCTCTTGCGGTCATGTTTCTTTTCGTGGAGCACCATTGCTAGCATTCTGGGAGTGTCACGATGGACTATCCACAGAAGGGTCAATGAGTTAGAGATTCCCCATTCCTTTGTGACATATTCACACATTCCAGATATTGACTTGCAGCAAATAGTACAAGAAGAACTTGTTTCAATGCCTCGTTGTGGGGGAACGATACATGCAAGGGGCTCTCAGAAGGCGTGGTATATGGGTCCAGCGCTGGAGGGTGCGTGATGCCCTGATCAATCTGGATCCAATAGGCAGAGCCTGCCGCTGGGCTCAGCAAATTCCTCGAAGGCCATACCGAGTTCCACATCCCAATTTCCTATGGCACATTGACAGTAATTTAAAGTTACGGCACTGGGCGTTTTGTAATTCATGGAGGTATTGATGGTTATTCCAGGCTGATTGTTTACCTCAGATGCAGTAACAACAATAGAGCTGCTACAGTGCTTTCGTTGTTCCGCGAATCAATAAATATATGGGGTTTGCCTTCCCGGTAAGAGCAGATGATGGTGGAGAAAATGTTGCTGTAGGAGATGTCATGGTTCATTATAGGGGGAAAGTCGTGGTAGTTTTATCACAGGACCAAGTGTTCACAACACAAGGATTGAGAGGTTATGGCGTGAAGTGGTTCACTGTATATTGTTCTCCTTCAAAATGTCTTTCTGCATTTGGAACAAATGGGTTTGCTAATCGCAGCAATGATATTGATCTTTATGCACTCCATTATGTCTACATGCCAAGGATCAATACTGCTTTAACACAATTTGTGGACACTTTTAATAACCATGGACTTTCTAGTGAACATGGCCTTACTCCTCATCAGCTATGGATTTCTGGAATTCTGCAGCATCATTCGTCCAATTATTCTGGTGTTCGAGGGATCATAGACAATTCATTACCTGAAGATCTTAATATGTATGGAGATGACCCCAATGCGCCTACACCTCAAGGGGATGATTTTTCTGGGGTGGAAGTGCCACAAAATTCATTACATGTTCCACTTCATGTTATAACTGTGCTGCATGAAACATTTCCTCCTGGGGTGGAAGATAGTAACCAAGGAATGAACATTTATTTTCAAGTTAGACAATTTTTAATGTGTTATTTTGCCTCTGGTTTCTAAAAAAACGCTACGGCCTTTTGATGCTGTCACAGAGGTTATTATGGAGTTTAGATATTGGTAAATATTATGGATGTGTGGACAATGCTGACTCCTGGGTTTAACTAAAATATGTTATATCAGTTGAGACATTTGCAGCATTCACTGTCCATGTACTAGTCAATAAGGTACCTCTGACTCCTGATTATGCACAGTGAAAGATTTTATTATTGTGCTTCAGTTGAGTATTGCAGAAGTCTTGACTGTACAACTGGCAGACATAAATCTGCTGTGTTAAAGAATAAGAGTGCATATAAGTCAAATTTTATGGTTTTGATTTTCCTTTTGTCCAATTGAAACAATTTCAGTGATTTGAGGTATAGCTTCAATTCTTCGGTGATTATATTTGCTCAATAACTATCATCAATTTCTACCATGCTATACTACATGTCTGGATTTTCTGGAAAGAACACTGAGACAATGGTTTTTACCTTTACCTTTTTAGTGAGTGACATTTTTAGGGCTTATTTCCTTTCTCGAAGTTGTGTAAATTTGATCTTCCTTTACTTTAACTCTTTAATTATTGTTGTTCACTAATTATCAAGTTAAGCCATTTTAATTGTAACGCCAAGATTCCATCAATGATTTTAAGTTCATCTCTGCATTCCTTCATGCCTAGTTTGCATTCAATTCACATGCAAGATATAGTTGAGACATGGATGTCCTCTTCCATTATCACATTAACTAGATGAATGAAAAGCTTTTTTTTTTATTCAAAGAGTCAGCAAGCTCTGATGCGTGAATTAATGCAGATTTGAAATTCCTGACGTTTGTTGTGTCAACTACTCAAAATTTTTCCAAATATTTTTTTTCATTAATGTGATATAAGGGGTTATGCTTTTGCTGGTGTTTCTCTATTGATTGAGACAGGTTTAAAAAAAAAAGTTATGAAAAATGTCATTGCGGGTAAATTCTCTTAGTGTTATAATTTCCCGGCCCCTTCCATTTCAGTTTGATGCAATTGTGTGGCTCATGAAAATAGAATGGGTGGTACTGAGTCAATATAATGGTTTGGTGTTGTAATCGGTGTCTGTATCCTCACTACAACAGTTTGGTAATGTTAGTACTGTTATATTATATTATACTGTTATTGATGAAAATTGAAAAATAACAAGGGTAAAAAAAAAAATTCATTTACCTGGATTCAGAGATTTTTCTGTATAATAATCAGTCCAGAATGCCTTTGCGCATTTCTGTACTATTTTTATTCCATTTCTTTGTCTGAAATTGGTGACCATTTTCTTGTTATTACAATGTACATCGAAACATAGATAAAATAAATTATAGCAAACGAAGAATATTTTTTGTGAAATAATGTTATTAGCTCCCTTTTTTGACCTTGACTTTTGTTCACCAATTGGCCAGCTGCGCCCTTTGATACCAGCACTTCGTATGGATTATTACTTACAATACTTATCGCGCCTTTAAACAAAGTCACCAACTAGAGCCTTGGGTGCACAAAATACGTTGATTTGTATCAATTTTTCAACCTGACCCTTGTCCTCCTTTCTTTATGTTTGCTCACTGGAGCGTAATGCATAAGAGGTATATAATAGTGTATATAATATAAATTTTCAACACAAGATGGAGGTAAAGTTGAATAATAATTATTGACTCAATGTTAAACGTCAGAAAAGAGGAATATGATTCGGGGTTGCAGGATCCTCGATGTCATCACTACGGAAACTACAATCAGGGACAAAAGTAGTTGACACACTTGTTTAAAGCGGGTGCTTTTAACAAACATTTCATTCATTTATTATTTCATTCTTTTTAAACGCTGTAAATCCCCTCACCCCCCGAATCAATGTTGTCTGAAGTAGAAAAAAGACTTGAGGGTCCAAAATTCAACATTGATTTTGGGGGAAGGGGTTGGGGTAGACAGGGAAAGGAGATAAGTATATCCACCATGCAAAAGGGGGCCATTTTATGGAAGTGTGTCAACACTTTTGTCCCTCATTGTAGCTACTATTAACTATTTGAGTGGGTAACTGCTGAACTGATTGTTTCTGGTCTCCTTAATGTTGTCAAGTATGAATTCATTATAGAAATAAGCAAGGTATTGTGGAAAACACAGGGTTTAGACGAATAAGCTTCTGACATTCAAAATTTTCCCTTTTTTTACTGCATTATTTAAAATTGGGAAACTTCCAAATAAACTGGTCCATAAAATATTATTATCCCCTGTCCTATCAATGGACTCGGCAATTATCATGATAATTATTCTCAGCAGATGCCTGATTCAGCTGGCTAGGGCAAAGTAAGAAAAAGTGCTTTCCAATCAAAGCCTCTAGTGAACACTGCTGCTTACTGAAGGGGTTGGGTCAAATTAGCCCCCTCCTAACCACAGTAGCTCTGCTAACCCCCTCGCCCCCTGCCCCCAGGCCCGATCCACCGACCCACTTTTTGGCCAGTCCCTGAGCTATCCAGTTATGGTGTCCAAGATGGCAAGCCGCCTACTCCTTTGGACACTGCACTGGCCTGGGGCCCCAGTGGCCATGTTTTATCAAAAGCAGACTGAACTAACAGAGCTGTTTTTATTCCACATTATGAGCAATTCCATATCACTTAAAATTCTTACTATTCTGAAAGGCTTAGTACATACAGTTAACAAAGAGACCAAATGTCCAGTGATTTTTTACAGGAGGCTAAATAATAATAATAATAATAATAATATCTTCATTCCAAAAAGTGTTTATGGATAAAATAGTCGCCGCCATTTGCAAGAGACTGTAATTTTATGAACAAATATTTGGTCATCAGGATAGGTGGTCACTTCAATGAGGTCATCTCATCAAGTCCAATGACCATATATCTGCCTACTCAATAATATCCTGCAGAAGTTAATCCTTGTAGCCTCCTTAAGGAATATCTAAACCCTAACTATGCTGAATTCAGTACTTGTAGCTCACAGAATGCCCACCGGGGTTTATAGTATTTCATGGAATCAATTTTTAGTGCTACCCAAGGATTATTTACCCTGGACAACCCTAATCTGTCTTTCGGTGTCTTGATATAACTCGCTGCAATTCCATCCATGATAGCCTCCACTAATATTGTCCTGTTTAGGTAAACCAGATATAAATAAATAATGTTGTCTGTCTTCTAACACATTTACGTCTCCTAGATAACAGGGGCACCCAATGAGAATATAGTTCAAAACCACTTAAACATAGCATTGTTAAACGAATTTTTGTATTTAAACGGTAAATATAGGCATTTTTTTATCCCCTAAAAATTTTCATCTGTTCGGATATCCTTGCTGCAAGTTTAGTGAATCAAAAAGTATAGGGATCAAAACTTACCTTTTCGAAAATTTCAGCCAGAAGAAAGTCTCCCGAAAATTCTAGGTGACCTTTTGAGAGTTAAAATCCATTGAAAATGGGCAATTCTACCATTTTTTATATGTTCGAAAAACCTTAGGAGAGGCAGGCAAACAAGATATTTTACAACAAAATAATGTTCCAAAATTTCTAGATCTCAAATCGTCTTCCAAACAGATATTTTCCGAAAATTGTCGTTGGGTGCCCCTGAGATAATGGGAGACACTTCTAATAATGGCTTGTTACAGGAAATGTCAGATGTTTCACTGTGACCTTGCTCTCCATTAATATTTTTGCATGTTTTCTTTATTACCCTAATCAACTAGTGTGTACGTAGAGGTTGGTTTCCTGGTCCCCCCCTCTTTAGCAGAGGGTATTATCCTTTTCAATGTCTTAATGGAAACATCCACGGTGTAACCAACCATGGATATCTCTTGTATGCTACTCAACTGAATTAAGAAGTGTATAGCCTTCATTAATGTGAGTAGCACTTTAAGACATGCAGGAGGGTTTCACTGAGTCACCACCTCAGTTCTTTGTTGCCAGGATTCTTATGATACCTTGTACACTTTGGACAGTTAATGCTGCAGTTCTCAACTTAATTCACTTTCAGGTGCTTTTAAGGAGTCAGCATGTGGCACATATCCACAGGATAGTGTTGGCTGCATTACTCAACTGCAAGCACTTAGGGTGCACTTCAGGAGTCAGCATGTCACACATACCCTATAATATCTTTGATTAATATTATTCATTATTATTATAGCTGCATTAATAGAGGGTAGATGTACATAGAGCAAAGGAAAGGACATGCTGATTAATTGGCCAAACATTCAAGATGCTGTATCGCTTTCATATGAGTTACTCGCTCTCAAAATCACATTTTCTACCACACCAAATTCGTCGACTGTCATGGTATGCTTGGGCAACTTTCTCCAAAGTCCTCCTTCCAGCTGATAAGATAAAATGATAGGTTCAGATCCCTCAGGCAGTAGATTGTTTACTTGTTCATAAAGTTCCTATGATGGAAAAAGGAGTATAATTCATTAGTAATATATTTTAGCAGAAATTTAAATTTTGAATTTTTAATAGTATAATTTTAATTTTTTACATTTTTTTATTATGGGTTTTTGAAAAATAGCTCAAGAAGGGTTCAGACAATTCCTAATTTACCTGGATTAAACATCTTGTTAATAAGGAAAGGTAAGGTGCATACTTTTTTATGTACACAAACAAGAGAAAGTATGAAAATCTTGGTTACCTCTGCTTCTTTACTTACCATTAATGTGCTATTCGATGCTACATCCATCTGATGTCGTTTCCCATCCGGTAAAACAACAATGAGACGCTTGAATTCACTTGACTTCAACCTCTTTGGGGGTGGTTCATCTGTCTTTTCTTCTTCGACTGGGACCTATTACAAATAAAAATTGAATAGTGTTATTGATACTTATAATTTAAAGCACATTAATTATTTCAGTAAGGAATACAACTAGGGTGCATTCCTTTGATTAAGATGATCCACATCAGGATCAGTGATCCCAGATCACTCAGAGCACGGTAGATCAAATGATCAAACTCAGAATCGACTCTGGGCAAGGATTCATCACTTCATCAGGAACACACCCCTAGAGCAATGAAGCTAACAGTCGACTTATAAGCGGAACCCTTCAACAGCCTTTATTATGACAGTCTGTAAACATAGTCTGTTGAAACAACAATTATCCAGCTGGTAGCCAAAGTGAGTATTTTTCCATCTTATTCTTTTAGCCCAAAGTACACGATCAGTTTTAAGTAATTTGAATAATGCCTATTATTTGACTATTTTGTTGATTTGGTGTCTCTCCTTGGACAACAATATCAGACAAAAGAGATTTTTTTTTTATTAAATTAATTAATTAGTTATTAGAATGCAGATCTGTCTTGTACAGAGTCATGTGACTAATTTATAAATTAATTATAAGCTTGGAGTTATGTAACTAATTTAATGTACCTCTTTGGGTTCTTGGCCGCACTGACATGCCTTGGAATTTCTCTTCCTTTGTTCCTATTACACAATTAACATTTATTTTAAATTACCTAATTAAATTTGGGGCTGAAGACTTTAAAAAGTCATTCTCTTTCTTTTTCTATATTGTTTTCTATGTACCTTCTCCATGTCAGCTTTCTGAGAAGCCTCGTACTCAAGATCTTGCTGCCTTTTTAATTCTCTCTCTCTTTGTAATGCCATCCTAATGAAGTATAAACATAATAATCATGTTATAATAACTATGTTTTTAATAAGTATGTTTTTCTGTGTCCATAATAATTACTTACAATTCATTTCTCTGCTCTTTAAATTTTCTTAATGCTTCATTGAGGATTCTTTTCAATTCAGCAACACTCTGTGGACCTTAAGAGAAAACACTATAATTATGTTTCAATTTCAAAATTCATTAGGGGAAGAGTAATATAAAAATGTTATTCATATCTGTACGTTTTTGTAATTGAACCTGCAAGTATTATTGGAATTTTGTTTTGGACTAAGGTGTGTATGGTGACACAAAATAAAATCCATGTCTTGATTATTTTTGTATTAAGTCATTAAGGTTTTATTCTGCACAGCACAATGTACACAAGTTAGATTAAGAAAGTAGTCACATTCATTTGCTTGTGTAATGGAGCTTGTAAGCGTCACTGTAAGACATGCCGTGAGATATGAATACAAATGTTCCATACTGGATAGACATGAATCAACACTTCCAGGCTCTACTGGCCACAGGGTTCTGCATGTCAAGTGTTTGTTTCTGGACCTACTGTGCACAATAGCAATACTGTACTATACTTTTGTACTGATTTTGTAATAGAAACATCCCATTACTTTATTCAGTCGCAATTTGTGAACAAAAATCATGGGATCAGGCATAGTGAGGGAGCTTGCAACATCAACCACGGCATTGCATCAATTTCAACTTTGATGCTTGCTGGCCTTCACAAGCAGTCTCTTCTACTATGTTTTAAATAAAACATCCTACATTTCATTTGGTAACATACTGTAATAAATGACTTGTGAAGTTATTACCTGTAACCTTTAGCAAGACTTTAATTTCACCAACTGCTCTTGAGCATACGATAGCTACAATCCCAGTATTATTGTTGGGCTGATTTATGGCAGCTAATCCTGATGAAAGAGAAGCATGCATCTTATTGCAAAATTTCTACTGACCATTGATTTTTTCCATCATTCACTGAAATGACTTAATTGATCTGAATACGTATGCACAGAGGTGCTATCATCTATTAATAAATTTTTCGTGATACATGTTACCCATAAATATCTTAATTTATACTGTATATCCTTCAATAATTAGCCAGGGGCTCTTTTTTTGCACCAAAAGTGCACGATCATTCAAGGGACGGCGATTATTTGAGGAGGAAAATATACCTTCCTTTCCTTCAGCTCCATGATCTGACGGTTGGACCCAAAATATAAAGTTTTCATTCACCAGCTTAGCAATCTCACTGTTCTCAAAAATGGGCCTGAAAGATCAAAATTTATGCATAGAAGCACATTGGACATATTTTCTACATTCATTGTCATCAGACTTGTACTCTGATCTGGTTGTGATCCATTACTGAAATCTATTCACACAATCAACAACCACAGCTATTTAAATAAGTACAAATAGACCTCAGTCTTACAGCCAGTTTTAATTAACAAAGACAATGTTTGGGGAGATATAAATTTCCAAAATGGCTAAGACATAAAAGCAAGGCATCTACAATACCTCCAAAGAAGCCACTGACGTTCACTACAAATACACACAAGCGCAGGTCTACCCAATTCTCCATCCAATCTTGACATTTCCATAAGCTAAAAATAAAATGCAGTAAATATATGTATAAAGTGGATCTGTACACATAATGAAACCTTAAGAAACAACAAACAATAATAGTAGTAATAAAAAATTAAAATACCAACAACAACAACACTAATAGCAACCACAAAAATAACAATTACCGTATGGAAGGTACATGGATGACTGAAAGGCAGACTTGGATAATGTGTCATTCGAATAGATGACTCCAACGGACTTAGTATGTGACCTGCATAACAACAAATTGAAATAATTTTTGTAAATGAAAACAGAAACTCCAAAACTATTCGACTAGTAGTAAAGACGTGTTTACAGTACATCTTCCAGCTGATGATTATAATACGGCATGTCTGTTAAACATGTTGTGATTAATAGAAAATGGGATGGAATGATATCAAAGAATGGTTAAGTTCAAACCAATGTGACCTGTTAACGTGAAAAGTGGGTTTTATTTTAATTTTCTACTTACCCTGATTTTCAGGTATTAAATCAAGTAAAACACTAGCCTCTGGTAATTCGATGACACCTATTCACAAGAAAATAATCAAACATTCTTTAAAAGGGATTTGTATCAAGTTTCTTGACTGCAGAAATTAATTTTATTATTTATTAATACTTATTCTATTATTTTAATATTAAATTATTTTGTTGTACATGGATGTTTGCTGCTAATCAATCTGATAAAGTTGAAATTTTATGCCTAAATAAAGCCATTCATTCAGACACATTTCTAATACACGATTATAAAAAACTTCAACTCTCTCTGATCCCTCAGAACAATTGCAGAAAAAATATCTTAAAATGACTACTGGGTATAAATAAATGCTGCAATAACAATGTGTGCAGGGCGGCAACGGGAAGGTTACCCATGAAAATTGAGGCCCAGTGAAGGAATTTTAAGTTCTGGCTATCTGTGCGCAAAAAAAGAAAAAAAAAAAAGACAAATAACACACGATGTTGTCAAATGGGTGGAAATAAAGCTTTCTGGAGCAAAAATAGTCAAAAGGACATTAGAGTGAGATTGGAAGGAGACCTGTGGATAAAAGCGCATTATATGGACGCACAACAAGACAAAGATTTAAGGATATAGAAGTTCAACAATAGTCTTGGACGAGTGAATTGAATAACAACATTAGAATAGATGCTTACCAGAATAACAAAATGAGAACATAGTGAAATTTTAAAACAGTAGAAAATCACTATTACGTGCCTTTGTACATCTACCTATCACCAATACCTGCCACAGAATTCTATGAATAATTCCGGACATTTTTTCCAATTTCATAAACATGTTTAAACAATAAATCTAAGCAGTTTAGATACTGAATCTCTAGATAATGATAAAATTAGACGATATACCAAAGAAATGAGAGAGAAATATCTATTTTTTTTTTCGCGACACAGCCTTGAAATTAAAAAAAAAAATAGAATTTATAAAACTTTTAAAGATGAAAATTATACATCTGATTATCTCTACCAGCTAAGACATTGTGACGAACGTCAGAATTTTGATAAATTTAAAATAACTAATCACAAACTTATGGTTAAACATGGTCGATGCCAAATAGGTCATTTGCCAAGAGAAAATAGCGGATTATGTCCGTTATGTAAGTCAAATCAGATAGAAGGTAAGATTCATTTCTTCTCCCAATGTAATAAATACTCAGTACAGAAACAGGCATTTATTAATCAAATCAATCAAATAATAATATCCTGATTTTGACAAGAAATCATCTTCAGAAAGCATAAATAAATATAAATAAAGATCAATGCGAAGAAGACAAAAATAAAGATATTACAAAAACGCCCAAGGAAATCCGTTGACAACAACTTTAAAATAGGCAATGAGAACATTGAAATTGTTCAACAATACAAACCTATTTAGGTACACGTTTAACTCCAACAGGAAGCTTAACTCTTGCACTTGAACACTTCAACGAAAAAGCCCTCCATGCCTTCTTGACGTGTTTTAGCTAACGGGGTGTTAAAAAAGTTTAATTTTACAAGGGGGGGTTAAAGAATGCCCATTAATTGAATAAATCTTAGTCCTTGAAAGCTGCAATTCTAGTTTGTCCTTGAAAAATCTTGAAAAGTCCTTGAATTTTTTTTTTTCCTGAAGCTGCATGAAACATGTTTCAAAAAAAGCAAACATGTTTTAAAACCTATATGACGAACTTGCGAGTGTTAATTGTGTTGATAAAACAGGACCTTAAACAAAGCTTTTGGTTCAATATGATGAGATGATAACAGTTTTCCTCAGGCGGCTGTAAATATCAGAAGATCAGAACTGCGCTTTTCTGGAAACTAGAAGTTGGACTTCTGAACGTTGTTTCAGTGGAGAATACTTCTAGATGAAGATAAATTTTTCACATTTCACTCTGCCCAGGTTAATTGCATGTCATGATTTTATATAAATGTATGGTTTGTATCCTCGTAAATATTAAAGCATCCCTTTACAATCATATTGGCTTGATTTTTTGTGACCCTCATTCTTTTGCAGCCATTTTTTCATATCCTTCCGTTTTGAAGGGTTCAAAAATCTTAGACCCTCCCCTGTTTTCCACCTCCCCCCTCCCCCGCTAATTTCTGAATAGTCCCTTAACTACTAATTTCTCGGGCAATTATCAGTTAACTACTAATTTTGGTAACCTATTAGCTTTTACTTTAATACAGCGAATGTTATTCCGCCAAAACGAGAATTTCTTTTTACTTCAGCGTGTCAATCACTTTTGGGGGTGGGCCCTACCAAAGAACTCAATAAAAAGTCAATAAAAATTAATAAATTCACATAAACACAGCCGCAAGTACAATTTAGAAGTGTATAGTTTTTCACCTGCGTTTTCAGAAGTTTTTTGTACCTCGCTATATATACGGACTTTGTCGATATTCTCTTTCGCGTCCCTTAATGTTACCTTTTTGGGCAGACGTAATGGCTTTTTCGCGTAATTCGAAAGAGTCACAAGATATCCAAGAGTTTAAACACGAGCTTAATAGTTTCAATAGTTAGAACATTACAATAATGACTTATCGTAAGTACAAATTCAACTCCATTTACTTGAAAGAAAGATTCTGATTTATCTCGGTAGTAAAGTTTAACTAGACGATCGTTTAATTCAGTGAAAACAGTGTTTTCTTTTTCCAAACACTAAAAATCTTGTTAAGAAGACAAATTATTCCTTTTGCTTTGGGCTGTCTACAAAAAGCTCTGCGCCACTGACGGTTAATTTCTGCGCCTGGTTCTTTCCTGGAGTCTTTTCCATTTAGTAATGTCAGTCCATGTGTCCATGCTCACGGGTATACCCTGATTATTACGCTTTTTGCACCATTTGCCCCCCTCTTGCAGCAGCACTTCACTTTTCCCTCTTATTTTCTTTCAATCAGAGTAATAAGAGAGAGACATTTTTTTGGCAATAATTCAACAGGAAAGAAGAACCCTTTTCACGGATACTCCACCGTCAGATGCCTTAACGCCATTATTTCCCTGCCTGAAACCGGTAACTGCTACATAGCACTACTGAGAACAACCACATTATGTTAAGTAAACTCAAATGGAACAACCAAACAAAAACAAATAAAGAGAGTACCCGCCAAAAAGGAAGAGCTATTTTGGCTCTTGCTAAAAGTTAACCTGAAATCACCTTGTAATGAAAGATTCTATTAAGGCCGATCCTTGACTGCTAACCCACAATTGTGATCACCTTTTCATTTTGGGTCTACTTTCCAGTATAAAATTTCAGAAAGGCAACTATGAGACTTAAGGAGCTGAAGTTTCTATATGGGCATAAATTTTCGCGAGATTTCCCATTTGTCCCTTTGTTTTTCAAGTCCCGAAATTAAACTGAAATCCGTGCAAATAACTATCAATAAGGCACGAAGACAATTACAAATCTTTTGCGTGGATGTGCACCTTGCATATGAAAGAAGACACAACAAGTTAACATTAGAAGTTTGTTTCCACTGAATGGCTGCTTTCAGCTTTTTAAAATATTGCACGACGGTAGTGGATCCATCGACAACACTGGGTCGAAGTTGAGAAAAAATGAAAAAAAAAAAATTAAGAGGGAACGATTTAGAAAGATTTTGCGTAATGGAAATTGTACTAAACACCTTAATTTCCAAAATTTTTCCTGTGTGCTTAGTTGTTATATTATTTAACTTTCAATTACATCATAGATGTCACTGAGTTTGCTACTCGATTAAAGAAAAGCATTCAATGCTGTTGCCAAAAATATGTCTGCCAGACAGTGAAGAAGGGAGAATTAGCCAGACTGATCAGTTTATATACAGAAACGCGACATCTTGCAAAGAACAATTTAAATAATCATATGGAATTGAGATTAAGTTGGGGGATACGCTCAAGCTGTTTAGAGTTCCGGATAGAGGATGAGTAGCTTCTGTTCATACGTAATGAAACATTCGGGTAATTTGTTTACCCAGGCAACTCGAGTCAAGATGGTGCAAAACGGCCAGACTTTTACTTCAGGCTCTGAAAGCCGTAAAAATTGAGAAATTTTAACCGTCAGCACAGTAACTGTCGGTGTGGAAAGAGTTAACCGTTGTTGTTATGATTCGTTTCTTTCCTTGCAATTGGAAAAAAACTGCCAGATGACTGGCAAACGTCAGCCTCATTATAAAAGATGGCCGGTACTAACTCTCGTATGATCTTCAAAGTCGAAATTATAACCTTGGCTCCAACAGTTGTAAATGTGAGACTCACTATCGATTGAAGCTCTTTCCTTTTTCAGGTCATGCTGTTTGTTCTCCAGTGGGGTAAAACACTATCATGGTACTATAAAGAGAAGGGTGCGGTGTGCAAGGCAAAAAAGCAACACGAACAACCCTCGAATCAGTGCTAACAAAGAAAAGGAAAATCGCATCAAGATGCAAAGGGTTATACAAACAGCCGGTTCTTCCTTTTCGTAGATTACATTTCTATGCCTTAAATAATATTAGATAGTGTAATACAGTCGAACTTAGCGTAAGCCTAGGGACGCCCAATGGATCTGTTCCTCAAAATGTTTGTTTGTTAGGCACAGTTTTTTGCTGACTGGGAAATTTGGAAGAAGTAATATGTCCTTTGGTGTATGGAAAGTGTTGCCGAGAGAAAGATTATAGAGGTTGGTTGAGGGGATGTGATGTGTCGAATATCAATGGGTTATTTGTACGAAATCTTCCCCCACTTCTCCCCTCCCTCCTCTGAAGGTACGAATTTTCCCTTATGGCCACACCC